ACTTTTGACTTGATTCTCCATAAGGAAGAGTGCGTAGCACATGTTCAACATTATCTCTAGCTATTCCCCTATCACTCCCCATTCGTAACCATTTCATCTCACATGTTTTAGTCGACATACATTCCTTCTTGCTATATCAGCAATAAACTCAAGAACCAAGTTAGGGTTAAAGAAAATATCAAAGAAAGAGAAAGGAACGAATCTTGAATCGAAATATTGTTTTACATTGAACAAACCTACAAAAACTTGCACCCCAAAAAATAAATAAACCTAGTCTTGAAACGAATTGTTTACTAGCGAAAAAGTCTGCGTAAACTCGCACCCCAAGAAACAAATAAACCAGTCTTGAACCTAATCTCGAAGGGGAATACCATCGAATGGTATGTTACTGTTGCATAATTAAAGATATAGTTTGTATTTGAATTAATTAAGGAGATGAGCTTAATAATAACAATTTTGTCCTGCTAATTGAATGTTGATATGTCATAATTAAATTGAAAAGACAATGACATGATTACCAAAGAAATGAGTTTGTCTATTTCTCTCTCTTTTTTTTTTTATGCGCACACTGTTCATTACACATGTTTTTTTTACATACAACATAAATGGCAATGAACCAAAGAGAACTAGGGTCGGAGAAGACGGTGGTGATTTTACAAAAAAAAAAATAGAATTGTCAGAGATCTCAGAATGCAAGTGATCTCGTTCTCTTTGAAATAGAGGATACATCTGAAATACATATTACACATGTATAATATTACTATTACTGTTATCGTCATAGCATTGAAACAAATATTCATGCATGAGTCAGTCGGATTTGACACTGTCTCGTGGTTTTCCGACTTGGTAATCTAATAGGGCTTTGGAGCCGATAACATCTTGTCCGGCGTCAATCTTCGTGGCAATATGAACCGACTTCCAAAAACCTTCTTTGTCGCAACATGTATAATCTTTGTCCTTTGGGTGATAGATGAAGAACCAATCTTTGTCGTTGGCTTTCCCATACTCCCCTGTACCAAACTTGAAAACAGAGCCTTTTACAACCACATAAACCCTAACTTTTGGGATTTAAGGAACGAAATTGAATGGATTCAAACTTATAAGTTGGCCAGGATTTGACTGGTCGATGTCGACATGTATAGTTTGTATTTGAATTAATTAAGGAGATGAACTTAATAATAACCATTTTGTCCTTCTAATTGAATGTTGATGTGTCAGAATTAAATTGAAAAGACAATGACATGATTACCAAAAAAATTGGTTTGTCTATTTCTCTTTTTTTTTGTGCGCACACTGTTCATTACACATGTTTTTTTTTACATACAACATTAATGGCGATGAACCAAAAAGGGATAGAGTCAAAGAAGACGGTGGTGATTTTACCAAAAAAATAGAGTTGTCGGAGATGTCAAGATGCAAGTGATCTTGTTCTCTTTGAAATAGAATATATTTTCATCTAAAATACATATTACACAACATGTATAATATTAATAACCATTAGACTATGATGGTTATGTAATTAATTGTTAAAATACTTGTGTACATTTTTGCCAATTTCTCTTAATATTATCATCTTCGCCTTTACATAAAAGTATGGATCTTCTTACATTTGATTAAAGAAACCCGACGTTTT